AACAAGGACGTTACATGAAGTATTCACTGTTATTAGTCTCTCTAGTTAGTTGGTCTTGTTAAAGAAGTCAAACTAACATAATAGTATATAGTTGATATTACTTTTAAACAATATTAGTAATATCATATATTGTAAAAACTTAATATAAAGTAATATTTTTTACTAAAGTCATATTATTAACTATCTTATCCTTATCTATAATATTAAACATCGATAATACCAAAATCAAAACTTAAAAATACTGCAAAAAAATATGTACTTACACAAAATAAAAATAATGATAGAAGATTTTCAAAAACTATATTTGAAAAAAATAATAATTCTGAATATAGTAATTTAGAATATAGTAATTCAGAATATAGTAGTCCAGAACTTTTAATATATGAATTAGAGAATAGTAATGAGGAAAATTTTAGTAATGAAGAAATAGAACTTACTGAAGAAGAAGCTAAACAATTAATATATGAAAATAGTTTTTTTTATAATCTTTGATGAGATAAGAAAACATCTAGTGGTCAGTTAATATATTATTCTAGTAGTTCAAAATGTACTTAGCAATATAAAAATAAAGAATTACAGGAGACAGCATAAGGATTAATAAGTTTAGATAATTTTTTTAAACCAAAAAAAAAAATTGGAAATTAAAAATGAAATATCAGATTCAGATATAAATAATTTAGATATAGCAAATGATAGTTCTATTTCAGAACAATTAGATACATTAAATAATAGGCTTAAAGATATAAAAAATATAAATACTTATGAATATCTTTATTTTTGGCTATATATAAATACCTTATCATAATTTTTTGTTATGAAGAGTCATAATCACATATAAAAATAAGCTTTAAAATATCACAAAAAGTTTTTAAACACAGTCTATGGATAGCATGTCATATTCATAAGTGGTCAAAGAGTTGAATAACAACTGGGACCTTATTAGTATATAGACAAGGATAACAAAAATATATACAAACTCTTATTGATAATAAGAACATATAAAGCTCTTGCTTACATTTTATTCATACTATAGGTAAAAGAATAACTACTGAAAAATTTCAACAATATGTTCAGAACAATATATTGCTACATATTACTAGTTTCTATACCTTAATTTTATTAGAAATAGCTTAAACTTGACTTCGCTGCCTTGGTCTTGTATACTAACAGTATCAACAAGGAGTTTACTATAATAGATATGAATATTCTGATATTGTACAATATTGCTCAGTATTTCTTGAAAAAATAAAATACTTTGAATCATTAATACCACAATTTGTTAGTAAAAATATGGACATAGCCATTAATCCTGAAATAAATGAAGAACAAAAAATTCATATTTTTGTTACTTATAATGAGTATACATTCTATGCTAATGATAGTTATCCCTCTATATGGGCTCCCTTGGTATGCTACTATTATATAAAAAAGGAATAGGTAAAGCTCTTATAGTTTTAGAATTTTTAACTAAGACCTGTGGTTACTTTATAATTACCTCTACAGAAATAAGTGAATTAAATTTGCTACTAACATTTCTACAAGAAGCTTGAGTAATTATTAAACTTAGAAACAATAATGATAGCTAGTAGAATACTTCTGATTTGCTTACACAAGTAGATAATAAAGCTATTCCTATTTTTAAAGTAATTTATTCAAATTGTGTTGGTATTTTTATGTTTGATAATAGCACCAATTATAGTGTTTTTGCAAGTAATACATTATATGTTAAACATATAAATCTTTATCTTAGCAGTAAATAGTCAAAATTATATAATAGTTAGTTTATCAATACACAAAATAAACAAGTTACCTAGCTAATGATTTTTCCTAAGAACCTCCCCCTTGATGATAATAATTATATTTTTCATAATCAGCCAAATGGTATTCAATAAGTGTTTCTTGAGCACAACTTATAGCCTACTAATAGTCTGAAGCTAAAATACAAAAATAACTATTATAATTTATGTATACTTAATTGTTATGCATATTACTTTTTATCTGCACAGTCTGATTTTATGATACAAAAATCAGCATTAGAAGAGCTTATTGTTGAATGAAAACATATTTGTATATTTTATCCTAAATTTTACTATGAGCTAAATTTTATTAAAAGATACTAGAGTACTGTAAAATGTTATTCACATGAGTATTATGATTATTTATGAGCAAGATTACAAGTTTTTTTTTTCCTTTGACAGTTGTGCTTTATGTATTTATTAGATAAAGAGTTGTAGATAGCTAGTCTGCCTAAGATTTAACTTAATACACGAACCTATAGTTCCTCTCTATAAATCTAATTTTCTAATGGAAAGCACCACTTGATACTCTATTTCATATATGCCCAAATATAACCTGTCACACTAAAAACCTCCTTAACATAAAGAAAAAGAGAAGTCTAGACAATTTTGTTTGACTGTCTAGGAAGACGGACATTGATAAAAGTAAAATAAAATTGTTACATATAGTGAAAAGCAAGGCCACATACTACATATAATGTTCAAAGCAAAGTTAAAAAAACTTGCTAACAAGATAAAAACCTAACAAGCTAAAAGAAAAAAGCACAAAACAAAAACAAAAATAAAGAAAAAGAAAATAAAAGGCATCTTGTAAGAATCATAACCTAAACATACAATCCTGTTCAAGACTGGGTAGTTAAAATTATAAATGCAAAATGCACTTATTTGCAAATATCTCTAATATTTGATAATGATTCAGTTATTTCGTCGAACACATGTTAGCTCATTATTATTGCAATAAACTCGTAGTTTACATTGCAAAATAAAATCACATGTTTGTTATACTAACTTTAAAATACACATATGTTTGTTGTTGTCATACCATAAGCCTACTTCCAAATTCATCAATGATGTGAATACTGATCTTTAGTAGGGAGTAAGCTCTATTCACTACTTTTTGTACAAAAAATACTCCAAGTTTGCCAAATAGTCAAAACTATTTCCAAGACTGAACAAAGATTTAAAAGTGAGAGTAAGGATATCTAAAATAAACTTGAAAAGTTTAAGGAGTAGTGTTATACTCAACTCTATCTAAATATTTTCTTTAACTTTTATATCTACAGAGCTTATTTCTAATGATAAAGTATATAAATATATACAAGATATATAATATATACAATATATAAAAATACTAATAATCTATGAATGGCTCATAACCTACTCTTCAATGAAAGAACCTATTTTATTGAACTTCTAGTTTTTCCAGTCTCACTCGTATATATTATGTTAGAAAATAGAGTATTATTATATGTATAAAAGTTTTTTCTTTTTATTATCATTTTGGTTTTAGAGATCATCAAGGAGAGTTGTATTAATTTTTTTGAGCAAAATTACAAGTTACCAAATTTGAAACACTTAATTCAGTATCATTCAGAACTAAATGTCATTTTGCACAAAAGGCATAGTATTATATAGATACTTATAAATATAGACTTACTAGCTGAGTAGCAGAATATACAGTACATAAGTATTGTTCTCATAGGTGTATACCTAATGATATTGATTTTAAACTAAATTAATAAATGCTAAATAATAATAGAAATTACTTATCATTTGTTTTATCTATTAAATCAAATAAATAAATATGTAAGAACTTATTAAATTTTGTTTAATGCATTCTTAAGCATATTCAATATATTATATAATCATATATATACTAAATATAATTCAAATAACATTTACAATATCTTTGCATGGTATATTATTTTAAGTTTTTATATTATGTAAATTTAGAGAATAAATTTATCAATTGATAAAGTTAGTATCTAATTTAAATTTAGTAAATTTAATATATAATTCTTTTTAATTTTTTTATATGTTAAATTAATGAAAATAAATTGTTGATTAATGCATTTATAATAAGTTATTAAGTTTGTAACATTTATATTTGCATAATATCTCTTTTTATTTACATAAATATAATAGTGAATATAAAGATTATTTATTAAAAATCTTAGATTATAAACTATAGTTTAAAATATGGCTGCTATTATAGTTACTAAATTATAGTATTACAGTATATGCTATAATTAATTATGCTTAAAATCTTGGAGGCTATAAAGTAGTAAATTATTATACTATAGTACTGCAATACTACACCTCTATAATATTAATTTTGTTATTATAGTTAATTTTAATTTACTAAATATAAGGATATTATGGTTCTGCAAAGACTATAGTCTGAACTGGACTTTTGGACTAGTCTAACTAGTTTTTAATCTAAAATTGAGGACTAGTTCCAGACTATCTATAGCTTATAGAATAATCTTGTTGACTAAAAAAAGAAAAAATTTCTGATAACTGAGTCTATAAGTTTCTAATTCAGTAACTTATTGATTTTGTCTTAATAATTCATTAATTTAGTTATTAGCAAGTTTTTCTGATAATTTAAATTATAGTGAATACTTATATATATATGACTTATATGTACATTATAATCCAAGGCCAGTTTGATCTTTTTGACAAGATAATTTTAACACTCTAATCTAGAATTCACAATGATAGCTACGTATAAGTTAAAAATCTTTTTTTTTTTTTTTTTTTTTTTTTTTTTTTTTTATAATACCAAAGTAGAAACTTTATTAATTGAAATTATAGAATTAAGTCAATATATAATAGTTAAGATTTCTAAAATATTTGTACTTTATTTTAGACATCTAATATAATATTATACCTCCTATTTTCTGAAAAAGCTAAACTAATTGTTTCAAATTAAATTTAGATTAAGGATAGATTAGAAGAAACCCTAAGGTGTTAGTCTTAGTATTATTAAATACTTGAAGTAAGAGAATATCTATATAAGAACCAATTTTTAGTCAAGTTAGAGATATCAGATAGAGATTGTAGATAAGTTATTTGAGGTAAATTTGTTGAGGATAAAGTTGAGAAAGAGACTTTTTTCTTTTTAGCTTTTAGTGTTATATTTTGAGCTATTTCCTATTGATATTAATAGATATTTTTTTAGATCCAAATATCTTGATGAAACTAATCAAGTATGAGGTTTGAGAGCTTTGTAAGAAATATTTCTATAAGACTATGTAAAAAAACTTTAAGATTATCAAAAATGGTTAGTGGATAGTAGCTAATAATAATATAAAAAAGAAGTAAAGAAATATTATTTAGTAAATATAATGAAGGTGCTAAGATAATATTTAGAATTTGTTGTAAAAGTATTAGATTAAGTTTGAGATTTAGGAGTATATCTTGAATAGTATTTGTTAATATTTCTCTGTTATTATGAGAAGTAGAAGGATAAGAGAAAAGATATAATATATTTTCAAGATTTTGGCATCTAATACAATTAGATGTTGAGTAAAGATAGAGGTAGCGAATAGAAAGATTTTGCATAGTAGAGAGGTTGTTTATGATAATTTTAGTACAGAGTGAGTATTTATATAAATTATCTTCTAGAGAGTTTATTATAGAAAAAATAATTGACTATTTAGATTGAGGAAGATTTTGAAGATATTTAAGTTGAGAGAAGTTGTGGATTTCTTTAATAGTTATTGTATTTTTGATAAAAGTTTAAAGTTTAAAAAGAATAGTGTATTGTTGCTATTGGAAATAAATTAGAAGATTTAGTTTTGTAATATCTATTGATATTATTAGTTTAGAGGTTCCTTGCTTAGCTAGTAAATCTGCTTAATTATGAAGGTCATTTTTTGAATGAGATTTGACTTTGTGAGTGATTAATTGAAGATATTTTTTTGTTATTATTTAATCAATAATAAAAATTAGATCCCAATTTTTCTTTTGAGTAGTGATAGTATTGGGTAGAGATTTTAGATTATTAATAGCTATTATATTATCAGTATAAATATTAATAGTTAAATTGGAGGGAATAGTTAATAGTAGATATAATATTGTTTCTATTTCTGTTCTGGAAGTATCAGAATAAGGAAAAACTGCTACATTGAAATAGATATCTGCATAGCTTTTAGAAATCTAAGCAATTCTAGCTTGAATTTGTGGAGTTCTAATATTTTTAATTGAGACATCTATATAGAAATAGAGGTTGTTAGAATTTTGATTTAAAATTTTATAATAGAGATTAATTAATTGGTTTTGATAT